CGTACCTAACGAGTGCTCATTTGCAAACAGCCTCGCGTGTTCCTCGTCAGTTGCGCTAACTCAGAGCAAACTAACGAGCGAGCGAGGGGCCAAAATGGGGCAAATCCGAACCCTGGCTATAAGTCACGTATTTATCTCCATCATAATTCATGAGCGGTTAATCGATTAAAGATATTCGATTATTTTTTGAAACAACTTTTTCTATTCGATTAACCGATTAATCGGTTAGTCGATTAACAAGAGCTCTAACAAATATATGCAGTAAAATTGCGTTTTTAGCTTTTCTCTCTGACGTCAAGATTTTTTAAAAGCACTTTGAAAATTGAATAATATGAGTAATTCAGAAAATGGGTTAAAAAATTTAGTGCAATGTATGACGATGAGTTGACGATCAATTTATTGAATTTGTTAGTGCTTGGTATTTTAGGCTATTTGATCAAGTAAGTTCCTGTGCAAAAAAAAATACTTTTTCTTCACTTTCCAGCCCGACGTTTCGCTGACCTTCTCAGCATCTTCAGGGGCGATTTCTTTATTAAAAACACCAACAAGAATACATACAAACAAATCGTTAGTTGCGAACATAATGAAAAAATGAATAAATTACATGTATAGGTACACAGGGTTAATTGGATTCATATGAAAAACACACAATTTTTTTTTTTTTTTTTTAAATCATAGTTACGGGACTACGAAAAATTTTTTTTGAAAATTAATACATATGTATATAAAAATTACATGAGAAACGATTAAACTATTTTAAAAACATCAAAAACGTAAAATTACGCGCATTCATACCAACTCTGTGTGGTACAATTGTCAAATTATTACTAACTATAAACATAATAAATATGCAGCCGCGACGTCGTCAGTGTTCTGTCAGAGTTCTGTCTCTCTTTTGTAAAATTCGTAAGCTTTCCAAGGTATACCTCGCTTTTTCTCTTTTTTCCCTATCCACTATCCTCGCGTTGGGTAAGTCAGCTGTATGACCACTGGCTAACACATGTTGGGCTAAAGCGGTGGTGTTAACCGGTGGTGGTGTTTTTGTTTTTCTTAATATCAGCTTCGTGTTCTGCCAGGCGTACACCCAGTGCCCGTTTTGTTGTGCCAATGTATACTTTATTGCAGTCTTCGTTTTCTCTCCCTTTGCATGTTATTTCCTATACTACATTACTTTGTTGGTGGGAGTCAATTGGCGATTTTGTTCTTGTGAAAATCGAAGACAGCGTGCTATTTGATCTGTAGGCTAGTACTGTGTTTTGATTTTTGTTGTATATTTCGCGGTCAAGTTTTTTGGTGGAATTTTGGTACATATGTGACACTGTGATGTCGCTTTGTATCATTTCTTGTTTTACATGTCGGTATTTGGCTGTGTTTGTTGTCTATTTCTATTATTTTATGTTGAAGTAGGCTCTGTATTAGGTGGTGCGGGTAGTTGTTACTTTTTAGAATGTTGTTTATCTTATTTATATTTGTGTCTCTGAATTGTTTGTGGCTTATAGTTAGTACTTTATGTATTAGGTTTTTCGCTGTGTTAACTTTATACTTGAAGGGTTGCGCAGACAAGAAGTTTATTAGGCGTCCGGAGGATGTGGGCTTTGAGTACCAATCTAATAATATGGAGTCATTTTTCCTGTGGATCATGACATCTAGGAACGGGATGCGGGAATGAGTTTCTGGTTCCATTGTGAATTGCAGTTTGGGATGGTATTGATTGAGTGTCTTTAAAATCGTATCCACGTCGTTTCGTCTTACTATAGCAAAAATATCGTCCACGTACTTTACTATAAATTTGGTGTCTGTTGAAAAACAAGTTGAATTATCCCACTGTACGCCTTGACATTTCC